GCGGCCGGGGGAGGGGGGGGGCGGGACCCTGCCGCTCTAACTCGGGCGGGGCTCGGACCTGCGCCCCGGGCCTTGGGCCTCCACAGGCTTCCAGCCGGTGGAGTTCAGGGCCGACGGCTACCATCCTTCCAGATCTTTCCGATGGCGGCCTCTTAGGCCCCCTCCCTCTCCAGCCTGCAGTTAAAAGTGCAGCGGCAGGAAGAAAGACGCAGTGTGTGTGTGTGTGTGTGTGTGTGTGTGCGCGCGGGGGGGGGCGGGGGGGGGCTCCGGCCCGGCTGAAGACCCAGAAAGCCACTGGGGCTAGGGTACGCTGCGGCGTTTCCTTCCTTTTCCCATGCAAATCCTTTAATTCTCTTTCTGGACTCCCTGGGGTGCGCTGGGTGCAGGCGCCCCAGGCTCCCGGGTAACCTTAGGTTAGTGTGAACTTTCCAACAACCCTTCTAACCTGGGAACTGAACTTTGCACCGACAGCCCTTCTCTGCGCTGGGAAGCAAAACGTACAGTCTCACAAGCCCTCCAACCAACTTAAATTTGGGGAGTGGTAAGTGGGAAGTTCTGCTCCCTGATGTTTGTCCGCCCTGTGGAGCGTCTGGGGTTTGGGGAGGGGGTTGGTTTAGTCTGGAGGTCAGGACGGGCAGAGAAGGGCGCCTGCCAAAGCCCAAGTCTCCCATCTTTCCTACTGCTCCAGCCTGGGCCGCCTTAGCGCAGGCAAAGCAGAGCGCACCGGCGCCTGCTCCTCCTGCGGACAGCTGCTTGGTCCTCGGCGGCGCCCCAGCCGCCCCCGGGTTACCATCGCCTGGTGACGGCGCCTCTCTCCGAATCGGAGCCGCTTGGTGGCTTTCTGCAGCCCTTGCTGGCTCGCCCCCAGTATGTGACGTGGGTGACAATGGCCCAGGTTGGAGCGAGCCCCACGTCGGCGCGTCCTGGGTGGTCGGACCCGGGCAAACACAAATACAAACCGATTGCTAAGCTGCGGACAATGAGCGAAATGTAGACAAATGTCCCGCTCCCGTTGGAAGCCTTTGTCCGGGCGCAGTTTTTGCATTTATTTCAGTGGTGAAATAATACATGATTGACGCTCTCTTTCAATGTGTCCTAACTGTTTGGAATAAATCTAAGGTTGTTCCTAGTTGTCATGGCATTCAACCCTTTTCAATGGACTATCTCTTCATTCATTTCTGAATCCGTCCACAATATTAAGGAAACCCCTTCATGTCGACATTCCCCATTCCTCTTTCTCCTCCTCCCTTTGCTTTTCTTTCTCCTTTTTCCCCTGCAAGAATTAGTATCTGGTTTGAACGACGCTCCTCAAAGCTATTACTTTCTGTGTCTTTTAATTTTCTTCTCTTTCCAGCTTTTTTCTCAGCCTCCTAGCCTGTTGCCTCACTCTCCCTTCTTTCACGTGGGAGTTCACTGCCCTGCATGGTGGGAGGAGGGAAGTCAGCTTTCCAGGAGCCTGGGACCAGCCCAGTTTGGATCCAGGGGCAGGGTGGGCTTGCCATACCATTGTTGCTCAGTGGTTAAATAAATACTGGGGATAAATAGTTTCTCAACTCAAGCATTGCAGAAAACTCCCTTTGTCTCTCTTACTCCTCTGTTTTAGAGGAAGGGACTTCCTTGGGGGCCACAAGAGCCTCCAAGGTGTGGGATCTGGGAGAATAGAGCCTGTTTGGGCTAGGCAATTCTTGGATTGAGTGGAAAAGGGATCATTTGGCAAGGCCCTTGTTGCCTATCCCTAGAGCCACCCTTGAGTCTTTGGTGGGGGTGTCCCAGGCCCGAGAGCCCTCTCCCTCAAGTCTTAGAACCACCAGGTTCTTTACAGTTCCCATCTCCCTCCTGCTTTCCACAAGGATAGTGGGCCTTTCTTCTTCAGAGCTAAACTAGGGCTGCTGACCACGCCCCCTCTTCTACCTGTGGGAGATTGCTGGTGCTCCTGAAAAAGGGCTGTTTTCCTAATCCTGGGAATTAATGGTGGAGAAGGAGTGCAGCTATGGGTGCCTTGAGACAGACCCCTAGACTAGTTCACAGAGACCTCCCAACTTCACAGAAGCCGTGGCTGTCGGCGCACCTGCTTTTGGACCTCAACCAGAGGGAACCCTTCCTCACCCAAGTTCACAGGTCCTTTTTCACCAACACCTGAAGACCCATCTTTCCCTTGTCAAGGCAGGCTGCCACTTGGCTCTTCCTCCCTTGCTCCACCCTCACCCAAGCTCTTGGACTGTTTTTCCCTTGCCTTGGCCTGGGAGCAAGTGGACAGTGAGATTTGGAGCTAGAGAGGGCTTCAGCTTCGATGCCCAATGCCCAGCGTAGATGGATGCCCTAAAGCTCAGTCTCTCCGAGACCTCGGGAGTGCATTCTCTTGTCTCCTCGTGGCCCCTGGGGTTTCTTCATCTGCTTCCAAACCGTTAACATTTGCAATTGAAAAGGCAAAGGAAGACCGCTGGGATGCTCTTAATTGAAGGGGAGAAACTGGGCTTGTTAGAGGAAGATCATAAAACGCTAGTCTCGGGAGAGCTAGCTGTGGACCCCGAGAGGCGTACACCAGCTCAGCTGGCGTCCCAGGATAAGTCTCCTCCTCACAGCAAACTCCAGGGTCTTCTCAGTTTTGCCGGTCAAGCGTGGGGTCGGAAGAGTGGATGGGTCAGAGGCAAACGCACTTCTGAGACCCAAACTAAACGCACTTCTTCGACCCAAACTAAACAGGGGCATTCTGAAGGGGTCTTGGCCCCTTGCCCTCTGAGGACTCCCCTAAAGGCCTCCCAGAGAGTTCCGCGGCCCAGCCTTTAGGATCTCCTTCCTGGCGAAATCCCACACACCTTGCAGGCTGAGAGGACTCAGTCTAGCGCCCCTTCCCCCCATCAATGTCCCCACCACCTTCACCCTGTCAGTTTAGAACATGTGAGCGCCTGCTTGCAGTTTTAGCACCAGTTTCAGTGCTACATGAACGCCGTGCCCAAGCAGAATTCTTTAGTTAACTCTTCCCAGGATCTCCTGATGCCAGGAGAGAACAACGTCTTGGGTCCCACCAAGTTTGGATTTGGACTCAGCTGCAGTTGTAAGGCAGCCCCGCAGTCTTTGTAATGGGCCTTCGGCGGGTGCAAACTTAAGGAAGAAGTTGAGGGTGGTCACTGGAAGTTCTGCACGGAGCAAACCCTGAGTTAGAGGGTAACTTGTTTGGCATCTCCTGGGTGGAACAGCGCACACACCTGCCAGGATCTTCGGAACAACCGGGGCTCTCCGCAAGCAGCCTCTGGTCTTTATCCTCGGGATTGGGGATCCACATTCTGTTCAAATTTCAGCTTTCATTCTTCTAACCCTTTGGAGAGGCCCGCGGTGAGCCACCGGAGGGCGGGGGAAGAAGGCCCCTTCTCCCTGGGGGCAGGAGGAGAGCCTACGTTTGGCAGCTTCTGGGGGGCCCTTGGCCCTCCTCTGTTGCTCTGAGTTCTGGAGCACACCGAAGCACAGGCTCAGGGAGATGGAGCGCGCAGCAGCCGGGCTGAACAATCGCCGGAGGCCCAGGAGGGGAGGTGAATGTACACAGGCTAAGTGGCCCCACTCCAGGACAAGTGGCCCTCTAAGTTGGCCCAGTGTTTACCTGTTTACTTTCCAGGTAACTCAAACACGAGTGCCTTTTCTACGCTCAGGAGCAAGGGGCTGCCCACCTCCGACCTGCTTTCTGGGTCCCCCTCATCCCTACACGGCGCTGTACGCCCCCTGTTGGGGAAGGGTCGTGTTCCAAACCCTTGCAAACAAGGCAAGGAAAAAATATAATTGAGGAAAGTTCACAAGGGGCCTTGCTTCGTGGATTCGACCCCTCGCCCCAAGTCCCTTTGGTTGAAGACCCATCTCAAGCGGTATCCTATCCTCCCGGTTTTAGTTCTGGGCTTTAAGGGCCTCTAGGGGCTCTGAGCTTCACATCTTCCTCTCTCAAGCTGGTGAAAGCTTGTTGGGTAGGTGCTTCCTCCAGGGGAAGTAAGGGCAGATAAGTCCTGGGGGGGGCAGGGAGGTGGTGGTCCTGGGCTCTGGATCCAAAGGGGGCAGGTGACCTTGAGGAGTCCAAAGCTTCGACAGCCCTAGGACAGACACCCTTTGCCCTCCGCATTCACAAAGCATGTCCAATCATTTAAAACAAAAATGCAAGGTCTTCCCTCTTTATTTGGAAACATTAATTTACTTGACTTCATTTCTTTTATTATTATCATTTTCTTCTTCTTCCCCCCCTTTTTTGGGGGGGATGAAAAGAAACTCCTAGGCTGGTAGAGTGTGTGGCTGTGCACTCAGGCCCTCAGCACATACCATCTCAGATAACAGCCTTCAAGTGGATTAGTTTATTGTCTCCTTAGTGCCTAGGTGCAAGTGTTTGTCTTCTTTCTCTCCCGAAACAAAGCCAGCCCACCTTCCGGCTCCAGCAAGGATTAAGAGCGCCCACACAAAGGTTTTGTCAGAGGAGAAAGGTTTATTTTATTTCAGGTTGGAGACTGCATCCAGCATGTCTCCAATTCTGGTCCCTAAGAGCAGTGATAAAGATCACCTTAAAAATTGCAATCTCAAAATAGGTCCATGCTGGTTTGGGGGAGCTAGGGCTGTAGAAGGCCCGGGGTGGGAGGGTGGGGGTGGGGGTGTCAGCTCTACCATCACACATGGTGATAAGTAGCAATGCTGCCCAGGATCACCATCCACCTCCTTTCCTAATCCAGAGTCAGGATTGTTGAAGGAAGGAGTCAGTGTCAGCTTCAACTGGCCTTCACTTTTGCCCGTAGGACATGGAAACTGATGAGGTCACTGGGAATGTGTATGGCCAGTGGGCCAGGGGAGTGCAGCAAAGCTGTGTGGGTTAGCCACCGTGTAGAGCTATATCTCTAATACGGGAGAGCCTCTCTATTAGTCATAGTGCAGATGAGCCAGAACAGGAAGTTTAGCTGAATGAAGAGAAAACAGTCTGCTTTAGGTTCAAGCTCAAGGAGAGCTTATTTCCCTTCTTTCTTTCTCTGGCACAACTCATGGATTTAACTCTTTAATAGCAGGGGAAGAAGGATGAATAGGTACCTCCCAGTTAGTTCTCTAAGTCACCCGAAGAAGGTGGGGTCAATAAGTTTTTCTAGGAACTGAGTTCCAATTTTGTTTCGGGAAATGCTGAGCCCACTCTGGGAATCCCAGAGTGGCAGACATCTGGTAAAAATGGAAAGAACTAATCAAGAGACCTAGAGCCTGGGGTTCCCCAGTAGGTAAGTGTGGGTGCAAGAGGAAGATATCTGAGAGGTGCCCCCTATTCTTTTAGAAGGCAAATATACAATACTATCCCAATTATCTGCCCCCCACCAAAAGGTGACTATCTCCGGAGGATGTAAATTGTAGTAGAAATTAGCATTTCTCTTTCTATTAATCAGGCTCATTGTGTGGGCAAGAGACCCTAAGGGTATATGTTAGGACTTTGATAAATGCACTTTAATGAGATCTTTGAAAATGCATCCAATAAAATAAGAGGCGAGAAAAGCCGTTCAACTTTCATGGATGTTAAATTGAACACGAAATATTGCTCCAGGCGGATTACAAAATGAAACGGGCCTCCCTCCAATATTTTCTTTTAAAACATAGCTTTAAGCCTCCCTCAGGCCAAAGGAACCTGTTCCAGCCAATCTATTATCAGCGCTCATTGGGAAACCAAACGCCACGTCCCCGCGGGCGAACCCTTTTGCTTTATTCGTTCGAACTGCTCTAATGATTAAATATGTTACAATGAGATTACGCGTCATCACTGTTGCCTCCAGGAACCTTCTTCCAGTCAAGCTCGACCTTCCCCTGATAAAGGCGATTCCAATGCGGGAGATTTGGTTTTCTCTGGGAAGCCAGACCCTGAAAGCAGTTTCTTATCTGAATTTACTTCTTAACACGTGACAGGATCATTACTACAAGACTTTGGGAAACCAGCGGCCTACCATAACGGGTTAGTATTCGACACTTTCAGCCAGTCCTGGCGGGCTGATGAGCACTTCAGTCATCAGTGTGAGGAAGCACCCTCTGGGTTGGAGCTAAGGGCTGGGAAAGACAGGACTCGCACACGCGAGGCCCTAGCCACAGCGCACAGAAGAGGGGGTGTTTGGGAATCTATCTTTTAGCCCCAATCTGTGCATGGTAGGTTTCTGAGGATGCAACGTCCCCTTTCCACCCCAAATGCCACCAATGCCGAGATGGCGCGAGAAGCATAAAACGGTCTCCCTGTGCGTGTGCGTACTGGAGAGGGGCTGGCAGGAGTGAGGAAGTCTCCCCTCCAAGACCCTGACTTCTACAGGCCCCATCAAGGTTCATTTCTGATCCTCTGGCGATCTCTACTGTCGCAAACGAGAACTGTCCTGCGCCGGGCGCGGCCCAGACAACATTAATGTCCCAAACTCCAGGTTCAGGTCGCCTCCCCTGCGACCACGGTCTGCTGCTCCGGCCCCCATCCCGGTTGGCTCTAGGCTTGGATGCCAGCTTCTCATCCTCCCGCTCCTCACCGCTCCCTGCCCCACCCGTGCATCAGTTCCGCGCGAGAAGAACCCTCCTTTCTCACTCAGCTCCATCTCCAAATTCCTTGCGACCGGAGCCTCTACTCCCATCCCCAAAGGCGAGACCCCAACAGCGCACCGGGAGAGACTTACCCGGCAGAGGTTGGGGCAGCCCCGCGCCCTTCCTCCCAGCAGCCGTGGAAGCCGCGCAGCATCCGGACCCGCCGGTAGGAAGAAGGACGGCGAGACGCAGGGCGCCTCCGCTCCGCCTCCCGCTCTCCGCGCTGCGGCTGCAGCCCAGCGTTTCAAGGCTTGTCTTTATCTGGTCCTCCCCCTACCCGGACGCCCCCTCCCGCTGCGCCCTTCCCCCACCGCAGGCCTCCCGGGCGGGGCGCAGGGCCCGCAGGGCGGGGGTGGCCACGCGCGTCGCGCCGCTGGTGCCCGCGCCGACTGGGGTCCTCAGCAACCTCCCCCAGCCCCATCCCACCCCACCCGCAGTCCCGCTTTCCCCTGTGTGCGGCCGCGGGAACACCTGGGTCTGGTGGCAGGTACAACTTTTCCAGACCGCACTTGCGACGGGAATGGAGGGGAGGAGGCTTTCCCTTCCGCAGAGCCTCCTCCCGGGGTGACCAGCCAAATCCCGGGAACACTTCAGACGCCAGATCTGCCCACCTGCTGCTTCCCGACTCGGTGACTCTGGGATGGATGGAGCGGCGTCCGGAGTCCAGAGAGGGAGGGGTAGGCGGGCGGGCTGCGTAGGAAACCCCCAACCGGGACTCAACTCGGCGGGGACCCCGCTGGCCTAGGGGACCATGCCCGGGCTGTGGTCGAGTCGCCGGCTGGGGCAGAAGGAACAGTCGGTGGCCGGCA